CTGAGAGGCAGTTGCTGGTGATGCCGCAGGCTGCCACACTGGGGAGGGGATTGGATGGGATGGGATGCGATGGGATGGGATGGGGGGCGGGCGGGCGGGCGGGGAGGGAGAGTAGTTGAGGATACACTCTGTGCTCACAATAAACACAAACTATGCCTGGAGGGATGTGGTTTGATGAGCTAGGAAAACGGCAGTTACCATGGCAGTCTTTGCTCTGGTGCAGTTCAAGTTGTGAGCCCCCTCAAAAGTCTTTGCTCTGGTGCAGTTCAATTCAAGAGACATGCCGCAAGCAGCAAGAGAGCTGTGTTTCGAGGAAGGTGCACTGCACTGCCACCAACCAACACACTGGACCCAATCCCTTTTGGTAAACCCCTGAGAGCATATCTCACTCAGCGAGCCCACACTGTCTTGAAAGTGCTGCTCACCTGCCTTGCATGGCAAAAGAAAACCTTCTCTGAGACGTCTCAAACCAACAACTCACACCTGGTTCACCAACAGCCCACGTGGCTCAAATCAATTTCAGGAACGTGTGAAAGCAACAACCACGTGGCTCACAAGCCTTTATGAAGCAACAGCCCACCTGTCACGGAAGAGGTGCACCACCACCCACACGCTCTGGCTCGCCTCCGTCACCTCCCTCACGAAGTCCGGCCCCGTAATCCTCTCCACCCCTCCGTACCGCGGCCGCGCCGCCGCCGCCCTCAGCTCTGCCACCCTCCGCCTCCTGGTGGGGATAAGCAGGAAATATAGAGCGAAGAGGGGGAAATGAGGGGGGGAGGGGCGACGCCTGTGCTCCAACCCTCCGTACCGCTGACGTGCTGCCACTGCTCTCAGCGCCGACTTTTGAGGCGCCTCAAAAGTTGCTCCAACACTCCGTACCGTACAGCTGGCGTGCTGCCGCTGCTCTCAGCGCGGCCAACTGCCACTTCCTGGGGGGTGTGAAACAGCAGGCGAAGATGGATGGCGAGGGCGGGGGGGAGCATGGAAGGTAAATAGTATACAAGACGAGAGCAGCAAAGCGTGCCGAAAACCGTTCCTGGAGTCTGCATTGGCTTTTGAGGGGCCTAAAAATCGACTGTGGGGTCTGTATCGGCTTTTAAGGCACCTCAGGATCGCCCCTGGGGTCTGCACTGCATCGGCTTTTAATTAAAGCACTTCACTTTAAGATCGCCGCTGGGGTCTGCATCAGCTTTTAAGGCACTTCACTTCAGGATGGCTCCTGGGATCTGCATCGGCCACTTCCAGAGCGCGGATTGAGTGGCACTGCCCCCCCCAGCGCTGTAATGCACTGCTAAGGGGGGGCTGAGTGGGCAGCCGAGGGAAGTGAGGGGGGAGGATATGGGGGGGGGGGAATGGGGAAATGGCGAGGATATGGCAGGAGTCGGCTACAGAGGGCCGGAAGGAGGCTGGGATTCAGCTGATCACACACCTTGAATATGTGGCTGGCTATGCTGGTGCCTCCCACATCCCCAACCCATTCCTATCCGCATGCACATCCTCATTCCCAGCCTTAAGCCCATCCCCATCCCAATGCACATCCCGCTTCCTCACATGCCCTCACGTTCGTCTCACCTGCATTCCCCAACCCCTTGCCAAGTTTCCCCTTCATTCTCACTTCATTCCCACCCTTTGCCCCAACTACATGTCCAACCCACCGGTCCATCCCACATGGTCATCCTTCCTACATGCACTCCTTGCCCCATGCCACGTGTCCATCCCACCTGTACTCCTCCATGAACCGGTCATCATCCACGTCATCCTCCAGGTCGTCCAGCTCATCAGCTGTACGCGTGTCCAGTTCGTCTGTACGCTTCCTCTCTTCTGCCGGCTCCCATGCTGCTGTCTTGGGCTTCTCACGCGGAGCAAGGTTGCCGTATTTCACCTGCCAGGGGAGGAGACAAGCAGCAAGGGTTGGAGAACGGAGCGAGTAGCAAGGGTGAGTGAATGATCCCGGTTCCCATGTCGTTGTCTTGGGCTTCTCCCACAGAGCAAGGTTGCCGTATTTCACCTGCCAGGGGAGGGGACAAGCAGCAAGGGTTGGAGAACAGGCGGTGGTGGTGAGTGTGAGTGAATGACGTCGCCTCCGATACTGCTGCCTTGAGCTTCTCACGCGGATAAAAATTCATGATTTTCACCTGCACATAGAATTATGAAAGGAGGTAAGAGAGACGTGTTTTGACGGGCATCAAAGCAGCAAGGGTTGAAGAACGCGTGGTGGTGGGAGAATGATGCCGGCTCCCATGCTGCCGATTTGGGCTTCTCAAGCAGTGCAAGGTTGCCAAACTTCACCTGCCACGGGGGAAACAAGCAGCAAGGGTGGGAGAATGACCTTTGAGGCGCCTCAAAAGGCAGCTCATCAGCCGTACGCGTATCCAGCCCGTCCGTGCGCTTTCTCGCTTCTGCCGCCTCCCAAGCTGCTGTCTTGGGCTTCTCCTGCGGAGCGAGGTTGCCGTATTTCGCCTGCTCGGGAAATTAAGGAATGTGGTGAAAGAAACGTGTTTCCGGGTGATCCGAAGGCAGCAGCAGAAGTGGAGACGAAATTTCAACAAAGAGGAGGGAGAATGAAAGGTTCTTGGGCTTTTCAGTAATCCCAGGAGGAAATATGGTCTTTGTCATACCCAAGGTCCCTAGGCAAGCAGGAGAAGGGTTCTGAGTGCAAACCACCGAGCAAGCCCAACCAACCGTAGCCAGTGTTAAGAATCAGAAACGGCAACTAGGACAATGCCTGGAACTTCAAGATTTCCTAATCGCGATATCGCTCCTTTCTTTCGATTTCTGCTTGTTCCAAAACCGGATTCGAAACAAACCAGATCCCATTCCGTAAACCAGCGGAATGACACGGCGTGGCTCGTTCGCCCCTGCCCTGATAATATCAAATGACAGGGTATCCAGGCAACCGTCACGTTTTTATTGTTTTAAACTCCTAATGAGTCACTTTACGTGACTCTAAAACACAGAGCGGCAGTACCTGAAGGTCCTCCCACAGCGTCGTGGTTCCCCCTGCGTGTCCTCATGCATGGTGTGGTACCGACTGGAAAAATCGCCGCCATTGATGAGGGATCGCTACCGGTTCTCGTTTTGTATCATGGTTTTTTGTCTCCGAGAAACAAAAAGGAGACGATTTCTTGGGAGGTTTTGACGCGCCTCAGGAAAGTCTCAAAAGTCGATTTGCGCTTCTTATCATGCCTAAAGAAGTCAAAACCCAGGGCCCCAAAAATCATTGTGTATTGAATCTGAATTCCAGGTTTCTTCACGATTCATCCTACATTCATTAGATTTGTTTCGCCACACTCTCTCCGGTGTCCGTCCACTGGATGTGATACCTCAGCAGCCACCTGTTACCCACTAAGGAATCAGGAACACGGAGAGAGCGACCGCTCCCTCCCACTGCGTTCATGGTCAGCGGCAGTAAGCGGCTGTCCTACCTGAAGGTCCTCCCACTCCGTCGTCGTGCCCTCGGGTTCCTTGTACACCGTGTGGTAATCCGCCATAGTCACGCGCTGTCGAATAATATGGTAATAAAAATGGAAAGGAAAGAAAAGCCTGCGAGTCGCGGTCTACTCTTGAATCATCTGAGCGTTTCGTAGCAATCGCGGCCTGTCGGGAACGGCGTCTTGCAGCTAACGCTAGAGCAGCACGCGATGCCCTACTTCTGCTGCAGCTGCACAGCAGTGCGTGAGCACGGCAAGCGAGGCTGGGGTGCGTGTGAGGAGTGGAGTTCCGCTTGAATATTCGCTTCGAGGTTGCCTGGGAAGGCTGATGAATGGAGTGTTCCGCACGGCCTTGAGATTGCCGTCACGCCACTTGCGGTCCCCTCACCGACGTGTCCTCCTCGTACGCCAACTCGCTATACGGGAGGTGACACAACGAATATTCCGTGCTGGTAATGAGATTTTAACTTGAGCCAAGATTCGCTCTAGTTGCATTGTTTGGCCCTCAGATTGGTTTCAGGGCATGCTGATGGATCAGTGTGCCCTGCCCAAAGTAGTGACCAAATCAGCGTTGGGGGTGAAGTTTATGCTGATTTTGTCAGGGTAAAATTTCATGGTTAACTGATTTATTAGTAGAAATTAAATTTAAACTTCGCGATCTGTATTTTTAACGGAGCTGTCTGAGGCTTCGTCCTGTTGTTAGAGAGGTCACGGGCTCAAGTCCCGTGAGTGAGAGTTTATTAGTACGTGAGTTTTTTTTTTTTTTTTTTTTTTTTTTTTTTTTTTTTTTTTTTTTTTTTTTTTTTTTTTTTTTTTTTTTTTTTAATTTACGGCCTAATCCCACGTCCGCGCACCCCATGTCTTGTACCCTATGCATTTTTGAACGTCCGAATCAGTGTGACTCAGTACACTATACTGATGGTTCAGTGTCACTGGTACACCAATACACTAATTCGTCAGGGTAGTCCTATACTTCAAACTGGAAAATCAGTGCAAATATAAAGAAGATACTGAAATTTCAGGGAAAACGAAAATCACAGCTACAAAATCAGCCTAATCAGCGTGTTTTACGCTGATATCTGAGGGCCTGTGGTGTTCATATCTGATAACTATGCACAAAAGGCTTGGAACTTGGAATTGGAAGCGAGCCTAACGGCATGATAATCGTGCCTAAATTGACCAGAAGTTTTATATCCAGGAACCTGCAATCTGTGTTGCACAATTTCAAGCTCGTGAGAGATCCCTCCCAACCCAGCCCAATGTTATTGATCCTTGTCGTAAGACTTCAGCGATATACTGCTGCTTTCCCTGTAACATGCAACAACAAGAATGGGATGTGTTAGTATGTGGATGTTGCGTAAGGACAGAAGAACCTGTGGATGTTGAAACATGCACATGGAACGAAAGGCCAACTCATGCGACGCGAGCAGGTCAAGTGGTAGAACAAGGTCATGGAGCAAAAGACAACTGCAACCCAAGACTAATGCCAGAGACCAAACATGTATGAAACCCCAATCCACAGTTACCCCAATCACAACCACCACCCACAGGCATACTCAATCCCTCCAATCAGAATAAGCCACCCGACCGTCGCGATGGCAGGAGGCGGGTGAACTCGTCTGCTAATAGCTGCTCCTCCTCCGCCTCCCCCTTCCCCTTGCCCTCCTTCTCCCCCTCCCCATGGAGGGGCGTAGACACGAGTGTGGGTGGGTGGGCGGAGAAGGCGGAGGTGGTGGAGAGGGGGAGAGCAGGGGCGTGCGGGAAGAGGACGTAGTGCTGCACTGCAAAGAGGATGTCAAAGGCTATTGTTTCCTGCAAGGGAGGAGCAGTGGGGGGGGGAAGTGTTGAGGGTGGGGCGTAAGGGAGGGGGAGAGGAAGAGCGTAGGGGAACAGAACGTAGTGCTGTATGGCAAAGAGTATGTTAATTGCTATTGACCGATGCCAGGGGGCGATACAGGGTGGAAGTGGAAGAGAGGGAGGGTGGGAAGAGAGAGTAGTGCTGCAAAGTGAACATGAACTGAGAAACTCTTTTCTTTCAAAAGAGAGGTGAGAAGTGAGGGGCAAGGGGCGTGTAACACAGCGAACGGGATAGCACAGGACAGCTGAAGTCTACGTACATGGTGTAGACTGTAGACGTCACGAACAACTAAGTATACTACACCACACCACACCACACCACACCACATCACACCACACTGAACCCAATGCATACCCCTGAGAGGGCGAGCTTGCCCACGTTGCCTGTGAAATTGACAAATGAGTCTGGGAGGGCGAGAGCGGGGGAGGAGTGGGCAGGAGTGGACGAGAGTTGGTAAGAGGTCGAGGGAGCGTGAAAGAAGGTGAAGGAGGTTAGAGGCTTGCCCACATTGCCGATGGCGTTAACAAATAGCCTTGGGGGGTGAGAAGGGGGCGGGAGTGGGGGGGAGTAGGGTAAGAGTTGGTAAGAGGTTGAAAGATTGTGAGAGGGCTAGCTTCCCCACATTGCCTGTGGAGTTGAAATGCGTCTGTTAGAGCATGGAGGGTGGCGATGGGTGGGGGTTGAAAGCAAGGAGTTGGGAGAAATTGGGGCAGATGAGGGTGAGAAAGGACCTGCTGGATTCTTGTATGTCCGAACACTCATCAACGATGTCAGTAACATAATTGAGGCGCCTCAAAGTCGTCACTTAACCGGAAATCGTCCAAACACGCGATCAAAAGATGTCAGTAACACGCCTGACAAGTTCTGAGACGTCTAAAAAATCGGGCCCGTTGGATTTTGGTGCGTCCAGATGCTCATCAGAGGGGTGGCATGGAGGACAAGGTATGCAACTCACTCGAGGCGGTCGAACGACCGCCTGTTTTTGAGTCAACTCAGACACAGAAGTGGCATGAAGGATGAGGCAGGCACAAACATCATGAGCAGCGATGCGGTGCCGCCAGTGTGATGCCCGTGCGTACGCATGGCTACTTTGTGCTCATTTGTGTCATCAACGACAGTGGTTTCGGAAATGACTCACTCTGATCAATGGACTGCACGAACATCATGAGCAGCGATGCTGTGCCGCCAGTCAGGTCCATGAGCACGTTGCTGATGCTCCACCCCACTGTGCTGCGGCGCTGCCAGTTGAACCACGCCTGGCGGTTATGAGTAGGAGTGGATAGCAGGTAGGTATGTATACGTACATGTATGCATCCATACGTATAGACACATGAATATTCATGCACATTTAGCACATGAGCACTACCAGACCAAGTGGCAGCAATCCATGAGCATAACTGGAGGATGCAGCTATCCATTACAAGTACTAAAAGTGGCCATGCCTCATGACCACTGAATTGTTTGTAGCTGTGTGTGGATGGAAGAACTATGTGACAGGCACATGGGATGTGCCGCTGGCACACGGGACCACACAACGTGTGCCAGTGACATATCACATACGTGTTGATTATAACAGTAGTGTTTTCAGACGTCTCAAAACATATCCCATACGTGCTGATGCATGCATTCATGGATAAAGATGCAGTGGCCATGTGGTAAGTGGCACGTGGCATGTGGCATGTGGCTGTGAGTTTGAACGGGTACAGAGATGCGGTGTATGGTAGCGTGGCATGTGGCATGTGGCAGCCTCACCAGTCAAATAGCCGTACCTGGGGAATGTACTTGATGGTGGTCATGACCACCTGGATGTAGCTGTGAGTTCCATGGTGTGGGGCAGGGCGGGGCAAGGGTGGACATACACGCAGAAAGAAAACGGTGGGTGGGGAGAAGAAGGGAGGCCGGTGGGTTTATGGCGACATGAAGGTGCAAAGGGAGCATGGAGACTGAGCGATGAAGAGGGAACAGTGGAGACAGACAGACAGACAGACAGACAGACAGACAGACAGACAGACAGACAGACAGACAGACAGACAGACAGACAGACAGACAGACAGACAGACAGACAGACAGACAGACAGACAGACAGACAGACAGACAGACAGACAGACAGACAGACAGACAGACAGACGGACAGACAGACAGACAGACAGACAGACAGACAGACAGACAGACAGACAGACAGACACAGACAAACAGACAGACAAACACTCG